AAAGAGTGCTGAATCTGACAGGTATCTCAAATTCTCAGTGGCAATAGTTTACCATGATTTCATCGGTTAATTTATTACGTTTTGTTTTTGTTGAGACAGGTTCTTTGATGACTCGAATTGGGCTAGCGCATTTGACACTAACGATGATGTGGATTCGGTCTGGGGATTTGATGCATCAAAAAGCCAGGTTAGCATAAGAATCTACAGAATGTTCCTGCATATTGAGTCAGCGATCAAATTTTCACCACTGCATCTGTATGCATTGTTCACTTTGTTTTAGATTTTGCCAAAACCTTAGTTCTCTTGACTAAGAGCAGATTTTGGATTTACAATTTATAAGACCTAAACCCTAAGAACTCAACATGAACAATAACATTCGCCAGTGGCAACTGAACTGGTATCTGGCTTCATTATTTACGTTTCATGCTCTATTCCTTGGTTGGACGATTGCAAAAGTTGTTCATTGCAGAATCTGGATTTTAGCTAGCTGTTGATGTTGTGCGTCACCATCTTAACTAAAGCTTTATGTTCTGATATATCGACATATAGCAGGATGGAGATTTCTTGGGGTCGAGTAGAAGCTTTGACGTTAACCCAGGAAGAGCTGATTCTCCAAGCTCGGGAAGGGCCTCTCAGAGAAAAAGTCCGTTTGCATTCGATGATTCAGTTCCTGGCACTCCACTCTCAAGATTCGGGAACTCTCCGCCGAGATTCAGCAATGCATCCGTGAGAGATAACCTCGAGGGCTTCTCCCGATTCGATTCCTTCAACACAACTGACATGGGTTTCTCGTCCCAACCGGAGAGACTCTCGAGGTTCGATTCCATGAGCAGTTCCAAGGACTTTGGAGGGGCTTTCTCGAGATTTGACTCCATGAGCAGCTCCAGAGACTTTGGGGGAGACAAATTCTCGAGGTCAGATTCTGTAAACAGCAGCCGAGACTTTGGAGGGCCGTCGCTTTCGAGATTCGACTCGATAAACAGCACGAAGGATTTCGGTGGAAGCCATGGGTACTCCTTCGACGATGCAGACCCCTTTGGCTCATCAGGTCCTTTCAGAGTCTCCTCGGATGATAAGAGCCCAAGGAAAAGGTCAGATAATTGGAATTCCTTCTGAGTATCATCTGAAAATTTCCTGTTTTAAAAAATGAAAATGAAAAATTCCATTTTATTATTATTATTATTATTCTTTTTTTTTTTTCTCTTTCTCGGCATTGCGATTTGAGCATGGGTTTGAGGAGACTAGTTTTAGACTATTTGTAAAGTATGTCTTTGCATCCTTGTGTTGTTGGGGTTTTATTATTCTGTATTTCTGATGATTTCTTTTTTTAATTTGTGTTTTCTGTTGAAGAAACGCCAACCTTGTTGACAAGTGGAATGCAACAATGTTTTGCCTTTTGTTTTAGTTCCTTGCATCCTAAGTTACCATAAGTTTTATCTTTAAATGTCTAATTTTATATTATTTTCTTTTCACACATTTACTTTAACTTGAAACTCTTTTTTAACCGAAGAACATTTATCTCAATGTTCAAAAGTGAATCTACACGATATTTTCGGAAAAGAAAAAAAAAACAAAATAAAAGCGAGTCACTTGAAAGATGATTGTGTATCATCGATTCATCATCGAGTGAATCTACACAATCTCGGTCCGGTCCCCCAACGCACCGCTAGCGGTTCCTGACGCACCGCGAGGGAAAGTAGCGGTTGCGGAAATCGCGGTTTATTGTATTAGGGGTGTAAAGGTAATTATAGAAGCAAACAGAGGCAATAAGGAATAAGAAACGGATATGATGGATGGTTTCTTTCTTGTGGGTAGTGGCGGTTCTCGCTTCTCCAGCAATGGCTTCCATAAGTAGCTTACACTTATGGACGTCTGACCACTGCCATTGTCGTCTTCCTCGAATTTCTTCGGCTTTGGAGTCGGACCAAGCTCGACCCACGAATCAATCCCTCGCATTTTCCATACCCATTTCGAGAAGAGACGCGATTCTGCTCGGTTCGATGCCATTGACGAGCTTCGTCGTTTTGCCGCAGAATCCTTCGGAGGCGAGAGAGAGACGGAGTAAGAAGGTCATTCCTATCGAAGAGTACCAAACGAGCCGTTAAGTCCCTCGTTTCCCTTTTTAGCTCTCGGTTCGTATTCGGTGATTTCTCTATAGAATCCGGAATTTGCTCTACTCGATTCTATCTATTGCAATCCGTTAAATTACAGATTCTATGATGTATTCGGTGGAATTTTAGGGTTTATACGTGATGATGGCTTCTCATTCGTACTGGGCGGGGACCATTTTGCAAATTAGCCCACATTCTCGCATGAATTTTCTATGGGAACGTAGAATTCTCTGTTTGTACCTTGTTGAAGTGAAATTATACAGACCATCGCGTTCTTGGGTCTGAATCTTTTCTGAAAATTGAAACTTCCTTGTGATCGGAATCTAGAATTCTGCTCATTGGCGTTTATTGAATTGGTGTTTAAGCTAGGATATTGCTTGCTTTACTCAAGCAGTTTCGATACATGATAGTATATACTTTAGTAGTCATATTGAAACATGCTTTGCTTCTGTTGTTTCATTGTTGCAGCCGATGGACTGAAATACTATGATTTAGAGGAAGGAAAGGGTCTGGTAGCCGAGAGGGGTTCAACCGTTCAGGTCCGTTTGATGGTTTACATGTGAAATGCCCTCTGTTTCTGTTCGTATGATCGGTTTTGTATTCTACGCACAAACTTTTATCGATATCCCCCTCTTCTAGGTACATTTTGATTGCCTATACAGAGGTATCACAGCAGTTTCTAGCCGGGAATCTAAGCTTTTGGCTGGAAATCGTAGTATTGCTCAGGTTAGTAGCTTAGTTATTGAAGTTCCTGATACTGTAATTAACAGGAACGCCACCGAGATTTCTAGGTGATTCTGGCCAATTCCCTTGAATGCCTTCTTTCTGGAGCAGCCTTACGAGTTCAAGGTCGGGTCTACCCCAGGAAAAGAACGGAAACGTGAATTTGTGGACAACCCAAACGGGTTATTTTCTGCTCAAGCTGCACCAAAGCCTCCTCCTGCTATGTATTTCATAACTGAAGGAATGAAAGTTGGAGGCAAGGTAAAAAAACAAGCATACCGGCTTCTTGTTTTGGCATTGCTTTCTATTCTTCCACATGGTTAACCTTTAATGGCCAATAGCTCAGAATTGCATCTGTTTTGCATGACAGAGAACCGTCATTGTTCCTCCTGAAGCTGGTTATGGCAAGAAGGGAATGAACGAAATACCGGTGAGAAACCCCTCTGTTTTCAGAGTTCTATATCAGTTACTCTGTGTAAATTGAGATGAAACTTTTCAGACATTGAGGAAAATAAACATTTTTTTTATTCGGGTTTGCAGCCAGAAGCTACATTTGTGTTGAACATCGAGCTTCTTCAACTCATCCCCCCTGAAGAGAAGTAAAAGACCTTCTGTGAACCCTCTGGCCATATTGTTAGAGAATCACAAGTTTTGAGCTTATGTCCTAAGCCTGTAGGAGTTTACACATGCGATACGACCATATATTGTCCATCTATTGATAAATAGATTCAGATTTCGCTTATAACGTAAATCTTCAAGTGTGTTTTCAGCTGCAGATTTTCATTACATATAACAGACATTCCTTAATCTGATCATCTTTAAGCTACAATTTTAGAAAGACACCACCAAGAAAGAGGTTTTTGAAGAACATTACTTTGAGAAATGCAAAAGGGACAACCTAGAAAGCTGAGAACAAACTCATCAAGTGCTGCAGTGTTCATAAACATTACCCAATGAACAAAAATTTTTCCAGTGGGAGTACTACTCTACAAATTCAGATACTACTGACTTGTGTTATTAAAGTTAAATCTCGTCGATGAACTCTAGAAGATCTTCAACCTCTTGCCTCAAAGCTGTGACCTTTTGCTGCTGAGAAGCTACCCGGTTCTCGATATCATGTCCCCCTGATTTCTTCTCGTACCCGTCAACAACAGCTGTGTGTTTCGCCATAACCCTTTCTTGCAGTTCTTTCTCCTTCGTGACTAACTCCTCAACCTGCAATGAGTGTAACAGAGGTAGGAGATGTGATATATTTCTGAAAACAAAAGAGGTATAAAGTTGAGAGAAATTTGGAACCTTTGGACTTATTTGAGAGGCCAATGGAGAGGACTGCAGAAAAACCGACAAGGGTTTCAGCTCTTTCGAAAGGTCTTTCAGAAAATTATCGGCAGCCTTACGAGCTGCTTTGCAGGCTTGAATGTCACCAGTCCTTGAGAGATCACGCAATGATGCTTCGAGCTTATCGTGGGTAGCTAAGCATTTGTTGATGATACTCTGGGCCTCTTGAAGTGTGGCTTGGACCTTTATATCGAAGAAAAAAATCAAATCTTGAGTTAAGAATGAGAGGAAAACGATGAGATTATATCGAGTTTTAACGTGTCGGGCAAGTATCTTAGGCACCTCATCCCACTGGAGTTTTGCCAAATATGCAGCAGATGACTTAGATATTGAGAAGTCGGCATGTGTGTATATGATGCATGTGATGAAGAAAACGAAAAATCCAAAGATCAGCATTAACGGCTCCCGAAGCATATTGAGACTGTTGAATCGATAATAGACCTGCACAACCAAAGAATAGTGGTCAACTAAAGAAGGAAATCAGATACTTTCAAATGTCGGTATTTAGATATGTACTCCGGGACAAAGGCTGAGATGACATGTACCCGAATATGCTGATTGTGATCTGGAACAACATTGTTCTTTTCAAGCACAACCACTGGTCTACCGACCATATCTAAATGGGAGTATTTAGTCTACACAGAAACAAACATGAAACTATCAATTATCAAACCATCGAAAAACCAAATATCTGAATGAAATGTGAGACTTATCGATAATAAGATATTCACATAGATAAAGAATGAACCATAACCATAAGATAATTCCAAAAAATTGAGTTACCTCTTCAGACTGTTTGACAGGAAATGGAGTAGAAACAGATAGATCCTCCGATCCCTCAGGCAAGACAACCTGCAATATGAGAGATAAAGCTTACAAAAGACCAAAAGTCAATGAAAAGGAAAATCACCGCTGTGTCATCTTCAGTGTGATATATGCAAGACTCTGCTATATCACTCTGATCAAGAAATATTTACTTCCATATCAAGAACAATAGAAAGCCAACTGTGTTATTCAAGACATGCCTCCGCATTATTCCTACGCCAAAGAAAGTAAATAGGGAAACGAAAAACGGTATGTACCGACCTTCATGACAAGTTTTTCAATGACAATCTCAAGCATAGGGGACCCAAAAGAGATGTTCAAATAACGCTTGCCCTCGGATGCAAGTAAAAAGTCATTAAGTGGCAAACCGTATCCTATGGTGAAAGTAGTCCTCCAACCACCAAACAACGGGAATCTGGGCTCAATCAGTAGGTCAGTCTGCAACCAAACTAGCAAACTGTCAAAACACATACCACAGAAATATTACCACGGTCAAGTCACATTAGTCAAAATTTCCACCTTTTTCGTGTCACTCCATAACAAAGATGTAGAGATATTGCCAATCTCATCCCTGTAATATATGGAATGGGCTCTAGGAGGTAATCTGGCAACAAATTGCCTAAAAGCAGATGCTCCTCCTCTGTGATCCTGCCTAGCTTGAAAATCTAACCTGCAACACCGGTACAGAGAGTTGGATAATTGCGAATTAGAATAGTGAACTAACCACTGCATCAGATTACAAGGTATAACACCTTGAAAACTCGCCCTTCAGTTGAGCCCCTCTGTGGACAACATCATAATGCTCTGTGACCTGTATGTTCCCCCAATGAGACACCTCTATTTCCCGCACAAGCTTCTCGGCAACAGCAAAGGGTGCTTTGCTCTCGAAATGAACGACGATGGGAGAGTAAGAGAACGGTGGGAGATTCTCGTGCGGGCCATATTTGATTTCCGAGCCACGTTGCCTTGTGTTCTCCAGCTTTGTGTAAGACTCAATTCTGGAGTCAGGTAATTTGACAGAGAGCGACTGGTACTTAACAGCATAGGGAGAGAGATAATGGGCGCTTTCTTGGAACATAACAAGCTGGATATCAGCCTGAGTAATCTTCTCTGGAAATGGCTGCAGTACATTGGTAAAGACCGCAACTACCTCCAGTGTCAAACTATCACCTTCACTGAGTGCTTTGGGAAATGATACCAGATAAACACTCAATGATCCAGGCAGTCCTTTCGGATTGGCTGATTGAACGGGAAGATTTACCAAAGAATCTTTAGCTTTCCCCTTTCCTTCATTATGGGCAACCCACAAATATGCCAAGTTTTTGCCAAGAAACTCCGGAAAAGTCAACAGAAACTCTGAGACGGAATCGGAGCCAGAACTCGCGACCTAAAATACCAAAGTTGAAGCAGCATTTAGGAAATGGCGCAACACATCATATGACTAGAGAAGTTCTAGGAGACCCCACTAACTCAATCTCATGAAATGTTCGAAGCTTTACCTTAAGGGTGTCGGTAATGCGAACAATCTGTGACGTCAAATCAATCTGCACAAATAGATAAAACAGATTAATGCTGCAGGAAAGTAGAATAGAATGACCACCGATAACCGAGTCACTGCTAAACCATGCCCAGATCACCAAAGCACATAAGATCTCATTTAGAGATGAAAGCGAAAGTTGATAAAATCCAAACTCGAAATGCGAGTTCGAAAACACCTACGAATTGATCAGGAAACTAGAGAAATGGAGATGGGACCGGACAAATGACAGACAGTGAGACTTACACGACGATCGACTTTGGAGAGAATCAGATCAGAGAATGCCGGCGTAGCGAAAATGGCGATCGCCAGAAGAAGCAACAGATTGAAACTCAAGTGCTTCATCCTTCACAGTTCCTCGTACCAGTCTTTGGTCTCGAAGAACAATGAAAAACCTAAGAGCCAAAGACAAATTTTGACTGTTATGTTTACACCCGATTTAACCGGGTCGGGTAGATCCGCATAATATGGCCCGACATATTAAACTAAGCCCAGTTTAATGAGTTATTTTTTGTGTACACGTGGCGAGTTACTATTGGTGAAGATAAGGTGAGCCTGAGAACAGAGGATAATGGAATGATCTTACCGCTAAACTAGCTAGGTGAGATTTTGGTTTTTGGTCTCGCTCTGGTTCGGTTGTGATTTTCTGGGAAAAATTTTTCTCGAGAAAATCTTTTAGAAAATGGATACTTCTTTGAGGTATGCAAGCAATTCCAAGTCTTTGAAGATCCACGCGAAGGAGAAGCTTCCACTGAACTCGAAAACCCGCTTGCAGGTGAATCGATAACGTTATTTTCTCTTCGACTTCGTGCTTCCATGGAGGGGTTTGAGCTCCGTTATTTTTCAAAATTTTCATTTTCCAGTGTAATCTTCTCTGGTCTCTGTTTGAATCTTCATGCGACTGGTTTCTTCTTTCCTTCGGTTTCATTTCTCGGCGAAATGCGTTGCTAGACTTTGGAAGCATTGGGCCTTACGCCCCGTAGCCTTACGTCAAATTTCTAGGGTTTGTGTTTTGGAATGTATGGCTTAGGCTCGAATTACAAACGGTGAGTTTGCAATAGTACCTATACGGTGTGTTCAAGTGGGAAAATGCACCTGAATTGTTCGTTGAGACGATGAAATTCTGCACCAATTTGACTTGAACAAATGATTCCTTGTGTCCGGGCTCCTAAGTTGTCTGATCCTTACCATAGTTGAAGTGCGTGTTCTCTTAAACTAGTTTGGCTAAATCTGTAGCCATAGGAATGGACCTTGATTTGATTTTCCATGAATGAATTACTGTTCTTGTTCTTAGCTGCTTCTTTGTCTCAGTTTCATGGAGAGCTGGATACAGGAACCGGTGCCCCAAGCTACATTTGTGCGATGATACGATACTTTTTCATGGAGGTCCGATCTGTACTACTGATGTTTCCTCTCTGCCAATTCGTCCAGAATTAGTTCCAAGGGTAGAAGTAACAATGATTGAAATGATTCACAGGCTTCAACAAGCCTTGGATTGGGATTGCATTACGATAAACGAGAGAAGCTTCGGTGTCTTGTACGCGGGAAAAAGGAGTTTCCTGTTATAGCTGATGGGATTGTAACCTTCAATGTCAAAGGCCGATCTGATTTTGACCAGGACTTCAATCAGGTTTGCTCTTCTTTCTGGCTATGGGAAATTCTCCTCCCGGTTACGTTTCTGCATAGAAGGGTTTATTGTCATTTTTTGTGTGGCAGAGGAACCTGAAAGGAGCTGCAGAATTCGCATGGAACATAGCAAATTTTCAGGAAGATCAAGGTATTCGGCTCAAAGTTGGCTATGAGATCTTCGAGAAGGTAACACTCTCATGTCTGAAATATGCAGAAATAACCATCATTCACTCTCCCTTGTTCGCGTTTTTAACAAACTCCGACCACTCTAAACTTTCAAGCTTCTTCGCACGTGGCAACTTCTTCTCGTCCTGTCTGCTTCCGAGCATTGATTCTCCATCTAGTTTGCTCAACTCTTGTCCTTCCTCCTGAAATTTTCGCTTGACATATAAAGCTCAATCCTTGTGTACAAGAGACAGCCCTTTGTGCAGAGTAGTATGTGACCATATTGACATACATCTGATATGTGGACCAAGTTAACAATACATTTATGTGATCATAATAAGTTTTGGGGTCTAAATGGCGTCTTGGAAAAGTATAGGGACTAGTACGCAGATACCATTATGTAATTTTTAATTCTTTTATGGGTGGGTAGAACTAGGAATATAAACTGTAATCCACAATTTCTCGACCCACCGGGCCAGCACTTTTAAAATCAAATCCATCCACCCTCTTGGTAGCATTTATTGTCCAACATGGATTGGTCAATAACCATGTTTAATTTTTTTGTCCAGGTCCCATATATGCAGATTAGAGAAAACAATTGGACTGTAAACGCAGACATGAAGGGAAGATGGAACGTGAGGTACGACCTGTGAGCGGAAACGAAATGAGAAACAGAGGACGCATTTTTATTTTTCAACATCTGTGAAACACGGTCCATATATCTTTTACTATCCAATTGGTCAAATTTCAGACATCTTATATATCATATCTTCACTCTTGCCAATTGCCATTGAACTCAGCATCCCTTTTCTCCTTGATGATGGTTTAGTTTTATTGTCGATGATTCTCCGACCTTTCCGAGAACGTGAAGTTCGTGGCCCACGAGCACTCATTTGCTAATTGTAGAGTTTTCAAATTTTATTGTAAATATACAAAAAAAAAATATATATTAAGTTGGATAGGACGCAACCTGATTCGAACACGCGAAGTTTCATAAACTTTTGTCCGTAGACTACCATTACGCCACGGATGCAATAGATAAAGGTGTATTTCTCATAAAAATAAATAGAAGTTTTAAATCTCAGACAAAAACCAGATTGAAAAATCATCAGCCGGGATTTTCTTCTTCTTCAGCATGAAATGGCATCCGTTTGTTCTTTCAGATCCTATTCTCTGTACAATCTCCAGGTAAAATCGACCCATCATCCTTACCTTCATTCTCTTCTAAATCCAAATGCCCAGTTATCGGAATCGTGAAATTTTTGTTTGCTTTGATGTTTTTTTTCTTCTCATCATTGGTACTCAGTCCTCGATTCGAGGAGGCAAGCTTCGGGTTCCTTCGAATTTCGTTGTGTTCAGACCGGGATTAGCTCTCAGACCCGACAAGTTGATATGCGTCCGGGTCGAAATAGCTCGAGCGTTCGTGTGCAAAGCGGCTGGTGATTCCTCGAATCCTGACGAAGTTCAAGAGACCCAGTACGATGTTGTTGCTACTCAGAGTAACACTGCCTCGGATTCCATGACTTCGATTTCGAGGTTTCAGAGTATGATTAGGTCTTCCCCTCCTGTCGTCTTTGTGGTAAAGACTTCTTTTTTCAAAAAACAAATGCATTTTTTTCCGTCGAAATCTGATTTTTCGTGTATGTTTTCATTGATTGGAATGCCGGTACTTGCCTGTGAAAGTGAGCTCCTTGGTCGTGGTTATGGCTTGGTGTGAGCAATGATGACTATGGAGTAGGGTTTTGATGTGTCTGGCATTTTATGGACTGCCTAAATTTTGAATCTTTATTAGTTTAGGATATAAATCGGATGTGAGTAATCTGTGAGATGTTAAGAACTCGGTTGGAGAAAAGTAATATTCAAAGTTTCGAACTTTCTGGATTCCCCAAAGAAGTCTTTGTTAACCCATCTGTGGTTTTACAGGGAAATGATGAAGAACATTAGTTAAATCTTTATAGGTTTCTTCTGTGCTCATCAATGGATATTCGATTTTGGTTAATGGAAATCGTGATTTTCCCGGGGTTTCCTTGTTATTCTGCATCAGATGAAAAGATGCTCCAGGAACAGCATTTGGATCGGAGTCTGCATTTTCGCTGCTGTTTTCCTAGCTGCTGTCCGAGCATATGCGATAAGACGGTCACGACATAACTCTACCACTGGTTCTGTTGCCGATCTCGTAAGACGTGGACAGCTGAGATCGGATAGAAGAGGCATGTATGAACTCAAAACCCTCATGCCTTTCTAGGTCATACTCAGTTTTAGGCTTTCATGTGAAATCTTCTTGTCATGGTGTAGGAGTTCAATTGTACAAGATCGAATAGGGAAAAAAATATACTTCGTGTCATAAGTAAAACGTATAATGAGAATCTGAGATCATATAGATGAATATGCTATATTTGTTCTCGGTGTAATGTCTGGTGTTGTCTTTTTATTCGCTTCCTCAGCTCGAAGCCTCTTAGGTACGACGATCCATTCAATAACCCGTTTGTGAAGATCGGTAAGAGCAGCTCAACTGTAGAGATGTGCGGGAAAGTTTATAAGCTTGCTCCCGTCACACTTACCGAGGAACAACAGAGTATTCATCAGAGAAGAAGGTCGAGAGCTTATCAATGGAAGAGACCTACCGTGTTCTTGAAAGAAGGAGAGTCAATACCCCCCGATGTTGACCCGGATACAGTGAGATGGATCCCGGCCAATCATCCTTTCGCGACAACTGTTAGCGACATCGATCAAGAGCTGGCCCAGAACAATGTGTATCTGAAACATGGCGTTCCATTCCGGATTCAAGCTGAGCATGAAGCTTTGCAGAGGAAGTTTGAAGCTTTACAAAGTGTAAGTACTCATTGATCATTTAGTTTTGGTTTGGAATTTGCAGATTATGTCGGCTTGATGTTTATGGAGAAAGGGTTTAGCAGGATGAGAAGCTGAATAATCTAATCATCGATGGGCGAAATGCAAAAGACTTTGAGAGGCCATACAAGTCATCATCCCCCAAACCGGATGAATCTAACCAGAAGACTTCAGGAGAGAATCATGTCGGTAATTCATCCACAGAAGAAGCTCAGAAATCCTAGGCACTGGTTTTCGTGGCTACCACCTTGAGACTATGTAGGGTTTCTTTTTTTTGTTTGGTTGGCTTTCTTCGAGTTGCATACTTTAAGTGTAAATAGAGTATAATGTAGAGACAAAGTCTTGCTTGCTGCCCCGGAAAATCAAGTTTGTGTTCCAAGAAACTTGAGAGAATCTCCTCAGCGAAACTGTTTCACCGACATTAATATGCTCTCAGATCTTCATGGCGAGCTTTCATGGATTCTGCAAAGCCATATAAGCCGCCTTGGATGTTTCTCTACGTTTGGCATCGCCAGTGTTTTCGTTGCCAGAAAGTTTCTGACACCAAAGGCCATGCCTTTGGAAGTTTATCTCCGAGTTCTTTGGACATTGAATTCAAGCAAGCTGTCTTCGTCTGACATTTTCTGCAGTTTTGGAAGAAACCCTCGAATCTTTAACATTTCCCAGATTTCTTCTTTGTTTCAAGTTGTTGTATACTCTCTCTCTCTCTCATCAGGAACACCAAAAGAGGAGGTAACACCCTTTTCTTAATCTTTAATTTAGTGAAGTTTTTGCGCATGAGATTCAGAAGAAAGATTTGTTCCTCATGTGAAAACAAAAAGACATGAAAGAAAGATCTGAGCTTTGCAAAGAGCAATTATGCAACTGTTTGTTACAAGGGAAAAAAATCTGCGAAATTTTTCGAAACGAATTGCGGGTTTTTCTTTAGGAAAATCCGATGAACAGATTCTATAGCAACACTGAGATGGGCATCAAGGGCTATATATCTTTTGCAGACTGATCTTGTTGAGCTCCATACGCAAAGAACTCAGTGATTACCTCCAATGGCATGCCTTTTGTCTCAGGGACCTTCAAGAACACAAAAATCCACGAGACGACACACACGGCTGCGTAGATGCTGAAGACTCCGACCAGACCGATCGAACTGAGCAGAACAGGGAGCGAGTATGTGACGATGATGTCTCCGACCCAGAAAACCATGGCGCAAATGGCTATGCAGAGTCCACGAACACGGGTCGGGAAGATCTCAGAGCAGAGGATGTTGGGTATCGGACCATAACCCATCACGAAACAGCAGAAGTAGATCACGACACAAGCCGTGGAGATCGCTGCGTTAATGACTGTACTGATGTGAACGAGTTCACTCAGTACTAGGACGAGGAGTGACGCGATAAGAACAGGGATTGTTGCAAGAAGCAGAGCCCTGCAAGGGAAAAAGATCGAAACTTTTCAGTCCAGAAAGCGTTTCGAGATGATCAGAATGTAGGTTTTCAATTTCGGTTTTCGGGGGAAACGGAAGGAGAAGAGAAAGATACCGTCTTCCCGAGACGTCCATTAGTCTCATGGCAACTGCAATGCAAGGGAGCATAAGGAAAGTTGTGAAAGCGCTGATGAGGAACGAGGCCGAGACGGAACTGAACCCCATGTTTGAAAGAAGGACATCCACTCCGGCTTCTTCGAGAATTTGAGGAGTGTAATAGAGAACTCCATTGATACCCGAAAACTGCAAACAGATGAACGAACAGTCCAGGTTTTAACGATATAAACTCGATAAAGATGGGAAGAGACGCTAAAATATACGAGATGTTAGACCTGTTGCAGTATCTGAATTCCGATCCCAACTACTAAAGCACGTTTCACTCCGGGTTCAAGAAGAGCAGACCAGAGGGGAGTTTCGGCAGCAGTTTTCGACGGGTGAATCATTGCAGAGCCCATCCGTAGCTTAGAACCAAGACCAGACTGACCTACAATGGCGGAAGCATGAACATAGCTACTACCACCACCTCCAGTTATATCGTTACCACCAGGAAGCGAAAGGATAGATCCTCGTTGAGATGAAACCCCGTCTTCTTTCAGGTAATACCTTTTGTATTCACCGTCTTTTTCGTTCCATTTATACGCCATTACCCAACCATTCCCGATTCCCAAACTACTGATACCCGTTTCACCATTTCCTTGTACAAGTGTACTATGCCTTCTCATGGAAAGGGTGGTTCCACTGGTGGGATGATGAATGGTCATGTCTTTGTCGACACTCGTGGCCTGGCGAGAGATCAATGGACTGCGTAAATCGTGATCTGAATCTTCTTCTTCACCCATATCATCGATGGAGGCATAGTCCTCGGTATCCTTGTATTGATTCTCCATATCCCTTTCCCACTGCACGCTCGGGAAAGTCGCGCTCCTCATGTTTCCGATAGCCTCAGGTATCATCTTCTCGTGGAGACTGTCGAAAAGATTCACGAGCGGATCCTTGAGAATCATGCTGCTTTGGTTTGCTAAGCTCCCCTGGCGTGAGCGTAGTATAAGGGAGCTCTGTCCCGGGACAGGTTTGGCGATATATGAACGATTCTCGTGAGTTCCATAGAGCCGGAACCTCTCTTTCTCGTCAGAAGCTTCGTCGACTTCGTTATCATCCGGGGCAACCCACAGATCTTCCATTGTTTTCTCTCCCCCGATCCCTAGACCTTCGACCAGCAAAGCTAGCTCATCTGCATTCATTACAAGATCCGAGGGTTATACGCATAAGGGTTATAACAAGGAAAGAAAGAGACTTTCCAGATCTAGGACTCCATTACTCGTCGAACGAATGAATTTAACTTCAATGCAAGTCGTGAAGTTTTCATCGAAAATCTATCAGGATGGAGGAATGAAAGAAAGCAAGAAACTTTTACCAGAAACATCTTCTCTGCCACATAACCGCTGAAGCACGGTCTTAGCCTCGAGCATTCTTCCTTTACTGACGAGCCATCGAGGAGACTCGGGCAAGTAGAAAACTGCAAAGGCCAAGTACAAAACGGAAGGGATCGAAAGGACACCGAGCATTCCTCTCCAACTGGGCGATTCACTCAGAGACATAGCGAAAACCATGCAATAAGACAGGAACATTCCACCAGATCCCATGAACTGAGGAAGAGTGTTTATGATAGGCCTCTAGGACTATATGTGAAGAAGACCAAGAAGAGGAAGAAGGCTGAAGAAGGAGGAGCACCTCGGGGAGCTTCGATGGACTCTAATGCAGCAGATAAAAAGGAACAAGGAGCAGGAAAGGGGGAGAAGCAGAGGATCATAACTGACACAGAAGAATGGGAGAGGAGGAATGCGTTATGGAGGTTCACGTACGTATTGTGGGTTTGTTGCATGTGCCACATCAGCACTCTGTTGCTGAGTAGGTCTATAAATAATGTTGTCCTTTGTTTTGGGTGGGTATCTGAAATCTTAAGAATATTGTGGTTTGGGAGGTTAATAGAGAGTGGTGTTCCTCTCTAAACCTTGGTGAAACCTTGGTGGGGAATGGAGAGTGGTGTTCCTCTCTAAACCCTGGTATCCTTTCCTTGGGTATTTTCTTAATATAATCGGTATTTTTATTACAAGGTTCTATCAAAAGTGGTATCAGAGCAATCCGATCCGCCATGGAAAACGAAGATGTCTTGTTGGATAGAATGGAGCAGTTCATGGAATCATTCACGGACAGTTGTGGCCAGATCAACGCTCGTTTGGCAAAAATACAAAAGGATTTTCAGACGATGAACCTAACAGAGATGATAAATAGATTGAAGGAGTACTGTGCCAGGAGGGGGATCGAGTTGGTTCCGGAGGAGCTGTCACCACTTGTTGATGAACATGTGGCCCCGGCGGCAGTTGTGCAACCGGATCTCGAGCCAACGCTTTCTGTGCAGCAATTTCCGAGGGAGCGAGAAGTTGACGGGGTGCGAGTCCGATCACAGGTTCGTAGTGACGA